AAAAAAAAACCAAAATAGTATTTTATATTTTCTTCTATTACCCAACTACATTAACCTTTGTGGTATTCATTGTCTTTCTTCTTCAAAAGAAATTTTAGTCCCCCACCTTCTTCAGTATAAAGGTCATCAATAACCAAGAAATTAAAAAAAATTAGGATTTTTTCCTCCCTATTCGTGTAATCTGTATGTTAAACTAATTGGTAATACTCCATAGTAGATGGATGAAGGACTGTGTGTGTAAGATGGAAGATGTTTTAGTGGCCTAGAAAGTTTTATGTGAAACTGCTAACTTGCCTCCTTGTGGTCAGCAGTCTGCCACAAGAATCCAACACCCTTGGAGTGATGGRGTGGGATGGATTGGTGTTAAGCACTAACATCAGCTTGGGAACCACATCTTCTGTGGTGTCCCTTAGTGCCAACAGCAAGAAGACTGTGGATATTCTTGATGGTTAACTTACCCCAACTGAGATTTCCTTCTTCTAGCCCCTCTCCAGTTAGTTTTGATTTGTAACAGTCTGAGACTGCCTCTTGGGAAATGAATGGCTTGATTTTCTTTCCCATAAATTTGACTGAGCTTGGGTACAAATTATACAAAAGTGAGCAGATGAGACTGAGACAGGTGCATTTTCACATGGTGAAGGTGGTATTCTGTAGTTACGATGTTATCCACACGTGGATAAGTTCAGAAGGTTCAGTCCTTTCCTTACACATGGCCAGAATCAGCCATTAAACAATGAGATGAACTACACAGGACTGACTGTATTGTTTGGTTGCTCATAACAAGGCTTATGAMGAGGAACTGGAGTTGTGCTCACACCTTTTGCTTCTGCTTGAAGTCTCACTCACAGCAGGGCTGACACATGTGAGAATACAACTGACAGACATCCAGGAACAGAAAATGTTTTTTTCTAAGAGTAAGATGCTTTTTATAGCATCAGGAGTCAGTTAAACTTTCTTTGAATTCTCACAGTAATTTTCTTTATTGTATTCACTGTTACGTTGTTATAATCACTTCACCTTTTAATGTCAAATTAATGGCTTAGAATAGACATCACAACAATGATATAGTGAAAGTAATTCAGTGATAGTTAATGTTGAGAAATTGCATTTGGAATAAAACAGACTGAATCATTTAACATTGTAAATTGAATGATCACATTATTAGTGCCTCATTATTTAAATGCTTTATTTCCACTGTTTTTTTCATTTTCTTCATATAACTTGCCTCAAAAATCTTAATTGCTCATGATTGTAAATATTTTGACTTTCTAATTTGTTTTTGCTATTTGCTKTATCTATACATTCCATAACAGTTACTTTAGCTAAGTATTTTGCCAACTTAGAAAATATCTAGACAGAATTTTAGTGTCAGCTTCTGTAAAGTACATGACCCTAAAAAATAAATATTATGAGAGAGATTGCTATTTTTGCTCAATAACTAGAAATGGAAAGAAAATGTGAAATATTTTGTATCTAGATAACTATAATAATACTGCAGGCTTTCAGACATAATCATTACAGAAATGAAACCTCATTTAAATTTCTATGAAATAAGATCCCATTTCATTTTCCTTCCCATCRTATTTGTAGTGTTATAATGTACCATGCCATCTCAGCTGCCCATGAAAATAATKCATTTTATTTTAATATAAAAAAACTTCCTTTGAAAATGTATAAACAAAATATAATTAATGCTTCTGAGTTTAATGTAATACTGWCTGCTGTTGAAAACTTTCTAGACTTCTACTGACACTTCATTATGTTTGGCCCTTTTAAACTTTTATTTACCAGTGGTCTTCCTCTGATACAGCATTTGGGAGTCTAGTACATTAATGGTACACTAGAGTTCAAATTCTGACCCCAGAAACATTTCTCCTCTTTTCTTCTAAGCGTTCTGTCAAACAAAAATACTGCATAATTCCATATTTCTGAGGCTGAGAYTTTCAGAACTTGAAGGAAACATATTGCTTTGATGGGCTAATTGTTAAAGAATAAAGTGRGTAAGGTTATGTGCATGTCCTTACTAACATAAAGATGGATAAAATATTCAAAGCTCTGACATCTTTGAGATAAATAAGTATTAACTTGGCCTAATTTTAATAATGTCTTATAAAAGCCCATTGATTATTGTATAATACATGGCAGAAAAGTGATCTAAAAAGTACTGAGATAGTGCTTGTACTTAAAATACATTGCATTAAAAACATCTGCAAAGAAACGATAGGTTTTCCTACATCCTCCAT